GCATGAATTTGAAGTTAAAATAAAAGGGAAAAGTTCGAAATAGCTCCCCTCCTGCTTCAATAAGTCTTTGAAAAAGTAAGCTTATTAAACATTGGAAAAAGGAAGTTTTACCTTCAGAGGTAGCAAAGAATTCTGATAAAAAGTCAAAGAAATCTGATTCCACCTAGTCCCTACAGTTGCCTGTTGTAGGATGCCTGTTGTGAATGAAGAACACTCACGTAGTGTAGAGTAACAGGCGGTGTCGAATTGTCATGAAGGTCTCGGTCCTAATCTTGGCTGCAGATCCGGGAATTTCCAGAGCAGACATAATGGTCTTTTTTTAAAAGTCTATGGATTACCATTCAAAAACCTCAGTACAACTCCCACGGTTTATCAAAATGAACAGCAAATTTGCCAATAAATCAGCAATGCTCTCTTCTTTACTTATTTATGAAGTACAATTTGCTTTTGCTGTAAGAATTATTTTCTGCTAGGGGTGTCCTATAGTTGTGAAACAGCAGAATAAACTTCAAAAAAAATCGTAAAATTCATAGGGATAAGCTCGCAGAATTGCGAAATGAGTTCTATGGTAATTTTATATGAGAAATACAAATAAAACACTTAGAAGCCCCGAAAAAGTCAGATTCAGACTCTACAGCGAAAACTGGGGGTGTCCTATAGTTACGAAACGCACTATATGTTGACCTTTGTTATGTTGCTGCCTAATACCCTCTGTCTCACCTACTGAAAGGAAGTCGTGTAGGAGGGCGATCAGTGCGAGGCAGTCGGCACGGCAAACGCGGCGCTGGAAACTCTGGTCGGGACCCCAAAACGCCAGCAATCACCGGGCTTCCATCGGTTGACCAACTTGGGCCCCGGTCAGAGTTGCCCGGCGACTGCCGCGCCGACTGCCGCGCCAACTGCCATCCGATCGCCGTCCTACATGACTTCCTTTCACGAAATCAGACAGAGGGTACCACTGCGACTTCGACCTAGGTTTCTTTCGTGCGAACAGTAGCAGTATTGTATTTCTCATCCTTCATACCAAACAATTAGGTATGAATAAGTGTGAGGTGCTATAAATTTGAATAATCGGTGGATCGGTGGTAGAATGCTCGCTTGCCACGAGAGTGGCCCGAGTTTGATTCCCGGCCGAGGCATCGACGTTTGGATTGAATCACTTCCAATCAACTCAGTATGTCATTTATTACTAACGAGTCTGAGATTCCGGCTTACGCCGGACCTCAGACTCTTTTGGAGTGCT